TATCTTCTTCACCAGGTGTAGGCCAATAACATTTAGCAATTTCTTCCAAAGGATATTGCTTAATGGTATGCCATAACTGAAGGTCAGTATGATATTTGGAGCATTCATCAGAAGGGGAGTAGAGTTTATCTTCACACCAACATTGGGTGGCTGGTCCTTTTCAATCTCTAGGCCAGGCTCTTCTATTAAAATTTTGAGATAATCGAGTACTGATATGTTCAAGATAATACCAAGTACAATGCAATTCACCATATTGGATTTCTTCTTGGCTAAATTCAACATTTGGATAAGGTTGTAGGTAGATAGTATAATATTCAGGTAGAGTTGGTGCAAGTGTTGCTAACATGTCTTGATAATCGAATAGATCCATTGTAGTTTGTATATCTGTAAAAGTTTCTTCAACATCCTTCATAGCAGTTAGATAGAAGATTTCAACTTCTTCATTTTCAATTTTAGGAACTGAGATTTGTTTTGGAAAACATCTAATTATTATATTGAGAGAGGTTCTTTTCAGAGTTGCCCATACAGAACAATCTCTTTTATATTGGTAACAGATGGATTGAGGTCACAAATGAACATGTCGACACCAGCATTGGGTATTGGGGCCCTTCTAACTAATTAGATATTTGTTGTTCTCAGTATTTCTTCTATATTTTTGTGAAAGTTGCTGGATATAACTCTAATTAAATAATGGTCCATTGTCACATTTAAAACCATTAGAGAATACTTCAAATCGGGTATAGGGTTTGGTATCTTGTTCAGCAATAGGAGGTAGATTTGGTCTTAATATAGCAGCCAATTGTTCAAGTCATTGATTTTGGTACAAAGGCAATTCTATTCTTGCTAATCTTTGTTGTATAGCAATCTGAAAAGCTTCTATTTCTGATAGTAATTCCTCTTCATCTTCTATTAAAATCATGTTGATTTTTTGTTCATACATTCTTGATAGAGCATTAGCATTGTTATGTTTTCTTCCAGGACGATGAATTATAGTGAAGTTATAGGTTTCTAGTCTCATAACCCATCTGGCTCTTCTTCCTTTAAGTTTGGAAGTTCTTAACTATTGTAAAGCAGAATAGTTAGTGATAAGAAAGAAATGCTTGGCTTCTAAATATTGATGAAAATGTTTAATAGCCCACACAACAGCTAAACATTCTAAGTCCATAGTAGGATAATTTTGCTCAGCATTATTTAAACTTCTACTAG